CTGGGGCAGTGTTTGATTAGTGGTTAAGGAAGCCGACTTGGGTCCGGAAGGCTCCGTCCCCACACACTGCTCCCCCCTGCTGCCCACTCTTCACTTTGGTGATGGGTTAAAAGCAGAGGTCACATTTGGTTGTGTCACAATGACAAGGAGTTCACTTTCCTTCCTTCATGAAGGAGAACACGGAGGAGAAGATTTAAGGAAAACATCACTGAGTCAGGGTTCTAAGGTTCTTCACACAATCACAGGCCTAAATGTGTCCATGGGATAAGGTTCTACTGCAGGATTATGGGAAAACAATCACAGGGAGCATGGGGGAGAACGTGGCGGAAAACGTAATGATAACAAAACCGTATCTTTAAACACACCGGATTTATCTGACGATCAGTCAGTCTTGATGGAACAATGTGAAAAGGTTGAATAAGAAACATCAACATCATAAAAAAATGGTCAAGACAGTAAAAATGAATGATCCCTTTTCTGTTGACGTCTACTTTTAGTTTTCACAAGTGGTGTGGACTTCAAATAGAAAGAAAATGTGTTCCCTGAGCCCTAACCTCGACCATAACACAGTTAGTTTTAATACTAACCCTAACTGGGCTCTAGTTCAAACCCCAACTCCAAAGTGAATCTTTCCTACAAAGGTGACCTGAAAAATGTCTGCATAATTATGTTATTATTATTAATATTTATATTTTATTTAAAACACAAACAATGTCTTCTGTCACATTTATCTGTACTTTGTTTCATAAAAGAATTGATGTTATGTTATACCAAATTAAACTGCAAGAATAAATAATGCAACTATAATATCAGATAGTATAACTATTTTTAAACCAATGTGCATAAATATATACAAAAATCTAAGTTTAACTGTATCTAATAGACATTTACCCAATGTTCACAAAATAAAAACTGTAATAATCACAGCCTTTTATTTTTTTTATTATTCATTTCTACATGTTGAGTTTCACTTTTTTATTTGTTTTTACCTGCACAGAATAATTTTCATCAGGTTATTTTAATGATACTAAAAATCCCAAAATTTAGCTTCCCTTTATATTATTTAAAATAAATATTTATTTAAATATATTCAGTTTTTTAATAGATTCTTTTCTGATAATATTTCTGGGATTGCTTTCATAATGATTCACATTTAAAATAAAACTCTTTGTTCTTCCTAAATGCCATCTTTTTTGCTCTATACTAAATAATTGCTTCTGGAATATTTCACAACTTTTTTAATTTCTGATTATAGTTTTTTATTTGACAATGATATATATGTATTTCCGTATATAATAGAGATCCCTTTAAAGATTAAAAAAAGTCACTGTGTGTGTGTGTGTGTGTGTGTGTGTGTGTAGCCTGATGATGACTTCCAGCTGTAATCACAGCCATTCTTCTTTTTTGGATGAAATAACTTTCAAAAAATAAGAAAAAAAAAAGAAAACTGAGTAAAAATTTGTGCGGTGAGAAAAACAAAATAAAATTGCGCTAACTCTGACTGATTGCTGCAGTCGCTGAGCTGAAGGTGTAATTAGAGAAAGTTCTGATCTTTAATCATCTCTTCATTAGCAGCAGAGGTTGATGCTGACGGTCCTGCAGCTTCTCAACAGCTTAGTCGAAATCCTGGAGAAGAATTAACGTCCTGGTGGTTGGAGTTGGAAGTTTGGAGTCTGCAAACTCAGTTCACTGGTTGATACTTTTCTTATATTTATTATTTAATATTTTTATGTATTTTTATGTATTTAAAATGCTATATTTTAATTTATTTACTCTAAATAAATGTTAAAAATATATTTATTAGTTTTTTTATTCACTTTTATTTTACTGACTACATTTTGTTTTAATTTTATTGAACATTTACTCCTTTCTGCCTTCCTGTTCTTTTGGTCATATTCGTGCGATAAGTTAACATTTAGCTCAGCCTTAGCTTTAGCATTTATCCATCTCATTTTAAAATGTGTGGGCCGACCAGAGACAAATCAAAGAATGATATTAGAGGATCATTTCTGGTTGAACTTCGTTCGAGTCTTCACTGTCAATTCAGGTAAAGCTGTAACAATAACATCTTACCTTTTATTTTCTGCTGCGAAGCAGGAGCTGGACGCCAAACGTGTTTGTATTGACATCAATCACAGTCTCCTCTCAGGACCTGCACAAAAACACACACAAGTATCCAGCAGAGGTAGTCAGTGTGTGATTAGTGTGTGCAGGAATTAGACAAATAGCCATTTTAACCACAGTGAGGCATTCAAATTGTCACAGTGTTTGCATAGTATTAATAATAATAATAATAATAATAATAACTATTATCACAGATTATTTTATGCGCTAAAACCCCTTTTAGATTTTAGTTCGGAGAAAAACACATCTCTGTTGTTTGTTTGCAGTAACAATAAAAACATCTTTCACAGAGAACTTTTTTTTTTTTTCAGCTGACTACTGATGAGGCCAGAACATTTTAGTGCTGATGAAGCTCCTGGTGAGGTGGCATTGGTTAAAACAACAATCTGATGTAAATATAAACGCATATATAAATGGCGTTAAAACAACAATCTGAGATATATATATGAAACAACAATCTGAGATATATATATAAATGGAGTCCATTGAAACCCTGTGGAGTCTTAGTCCACTCTAATCACCAGAACTTCTCTCCTTTTAAGCCTCACTCTCTGCCTTCAAACCCAGTAATAAAGTCCAGGAGTCGGAGTGTTTTCCGAGCTGATTTGATTGTCAGCTGTATTTTTACATCCACTGTCAGTCTGGTAAGTACTGTAATCTGCACTGACCCTGACTTACTGCACCACTGTAATCACAAAGTTGTTGGAACTGTTTTTCCTCCAGCACCTGGAACTTTAATACAAGGTAATTGTTCTTTTTCACAAGGAAAACAGTTCTATATTATTGATTCCTCACTATTAACATTAGGATGTTAACAGTGTTTTCTAACTCTGCTCATTTAAATCTACATGGCTAAAACTACTATATAAAACCAACTAGAATTGTACACACTAAACAAATATGATGGTTAAAAATACTACAGAAAAAAAACAGTAAAATCTACATAATAATATACTGCAATAACAACACACAGAAGCTAAAAATTCACCAAAAACTGTTTAGAAATGTCCATAGCATTTCTACTTTATGGCAATAATGCTTTAGTTTAAAAGTTTAAAAGTTTAAAAGAAATCTAAATGTTTTTTGAAGAAAAAAGTTAGTTTACATTTGAAAAGAAAAAATGAAAACAACTTATAAAAAATATAAAATATTTTTACCCAAATTTAAAAAAAATGTGTTTTTGTCAGGTTAACACAATAAACAAAAGAAAGAAAAATCAAAAGAAAATCCTGAAGGATTTTTATTTAAAAATTAGTGATAAAGATTTTTTTTAATTTTTAAAAATCACTCAAATGGTATGTCACATAAAAGGAGTTACATGTGACATCATCGTTGTACTTTGTTGAGCCAAATGCAGTGATTTTTTTTTTCTTTTTTTGGGAAAATCAATATAAAAAAAAACTTTAAAACTTTAAAAAACTTTATATAAAAATGAAAACTTTGTGGAAACTACCCAGCAGATTGAAGAAATCTTTCAGTGTTATAATAAAAAAAAGTTAAAAAGAAAAGTAAATTAGCAAGAAAACAATTGTGATGCTTAGAAAAAAAAGACAATCAGAAAATAAAGAACGCTCTGCAGGTGAAAGACTATACAAAGAACACAATAATGGATGAACTTAGAGAGGAAATAGTAATATTATGTATGTGTGTGTGTGTGTGTGTGTGTGAGAGAGACAGATGACAAGAGATAAGTGAGCGTTTGAGTTAAAACACTACAATTCAGGAACACGCGCTCTATCACACACACACACACACACACACAGGGAGAGAGAGGGAGGGAGAGAGAGAGAGAGAGAGGTAACATTAGACTGACATAACATCAACTGCTGCTGCTTGTCAGTGTGTAAAAATTCGTGTTCTGAAACTGTACGTGACTGCTTCGCTGACAGTAGCCCTTTTGCGCCATCTACCGACACTGGCAGAATCAGCCTTTATTACACTAATCAAATCTCTTTAAAATAGGCAAATGAAATTGAAACATTAAAGATTCTTAAAGCACAAAAAGAAACAGACTTTGTCTTGTCCCCACTACACCATTATCTTCAATCCGTAAGACCTGTGTTTGAATTGTTAGATATCAACTGGCAAAAAGCTGAATATTATTTTTAAAAGTTTTTATTTAAACAGTTTTTTTTTTATTTAAACAAATTTAAATAAAAACTTAAACTTTCATAAATTTCAATCTAACTGTAATTATTATATATAGATATTGTAATATCAGAAACTGGAGGAGAAAAATTAAACAGAAAAAGGTGAGTAAAATTATAGGGCAATAAATGAGCAGTAAAATTTAAAGTAGTAAAATTTAGTGGAAATAAATAAATGAATAAGTGAATTTCCTGATGTAAATATCTGTTATCATTGTGCTGTTATTATGTGAAAAATCATAACCTGATATAACAACAATAACTAGAATATGATGATAAACTAATCAATTGACTAAAAGCCAAAAATATTATTTTCAAAAGTTAATATTTTAATTTCTATTCTGGCACAAAGTAAAAATGTCCACTTTTTAAAATTTATTTTGTATGTATTTTATGAAGGTATTGAAAAGAGAAGAAGGAGCATCCATCAAAGGATCGGGCATCAAAGGAGCATCCATCAAAGGATCGGGCATCAAAAGAACATCCATCAGAGCATGTCGCATCAAAGGGGCAAACACCAAAGAACGAAGCATAAAAGGAGCATCTATACAGAATCGGGTATAAAAGGGGTACATCAAAGGAGCACCAACATCAAAGAATGAAGCATGAAAGGAGCACCCATCGAAGGTTGGGGCATCAAAGGAGCATAAACCAAAAGATGAGGCATACAAGGAGCATCTATCAATGGATGGGCATAAAAGAAGCATCCATAAAGGATGGGGTACAAAGGAATCCATCAAACGGTGGGCATAAAATGAGCACCCATTAAAGGATGGGTATAAAATAAACACCCATCAAAGGGTTGGCATTAAATGAGCACCCATTAAAGGATGGTGGATCAAAGGAACATCCATCAAATAATGAGGTAGAGAAGGTGTACCAATCAAAGGCAAAATAATAAAAACAGCCACCATCAAAGGATGGAGTACAAAAGGATTTAAAAACTGCATCTTAAACAGGATATTAAGATGAACCTCCAGGGTTCCAGACTAGTTTCGAACATTCTTTGTGGGCGACAAGTGCTGGTGGGCACCGTGTCAGTGACCCCTGGCACGGACTGTAGGCTACAGCCCATTAGCTCATACAGAGCGGATGCGTCCACACTGACGTAGTGCGCCTCCCTGTGGACGAACGTCATAAAGAAACTCAATTTGACTCTAATGGAGGTGAGCGTCTAACCTGGACTGGACCAGAACATTAGAACAGGTCTGCTGTTCTCCAACAGCCACTGTGACAAACACACTCAGACACAGAGTGACCTGCTCTGAAACGACTGTCACTTTTCCCCCTCTGATGGTCTTTAAATGATCTTCAGACCATCAGCAGGAGTTTTGAGCGGCACCAAAGGTCAGGAAGAGACATTAGCTCCGCGGGTTTCTCCTCCGCTCTGTCATTTACTCTGCTGTTGGAGCTGAAAATTAGAGCCACAGGTGAAACGGAGGGGGGGCGCCGTATTCTCATTCTCATCATCGTCGTCGTCGTCATCAGATCTGGTGGACACCGCAGGAGACCCAGGTCCATTTTCACCCAGGTGTCATCAGAACATGACCACTGAGAAGTGGATTTACCAGCCTGGGTTTTCTCTCACCCTCAGTTCTACAGTCTTTCCAAAAAAGGACAGACGTCAGGACCGACTGACTAAAAGTTACGTTATAATGTCCCCAGTACTCTGTCTCTGTCTGTGGTACCGTCTCTTGTTCCTGATCCTATTATCAGTGATTAAAGCGATCCTTTAAATACATCTTCACAATCCATTCCACTCACTGTATTGTTATTATTTATATTACATGCCATTAAAATGTTAATGGACCTGGTGATTATTACAGCACATTTACATTCTCTCTCTCTCTCTCTCTCTCTCTCTCTCACACACACACACACACATACTGTACAATCATAAGCGATGGAACTTTTTCACATTTTTTACTTTTCTGATTAAAAGATGATTTTTCTGTCTCTTTTAATGAAACTACAGAGAAAAGTCCCAAGGCCTTTTTTTTATACCGTCACCATCGGTACCGGAACCGTATCACACCCACATATAATCATTACTGTGTGCGTATGTGTGTGCACGTTTCAAAGAATGCCTGTGGTCTGTTGTGAATTTCATTAGTACCAGTGCAGCTCTGATGATCAGTCCTTCAGGGCTCACAGAGCTCATCAGTACCAGAGCAGAGAGGAGCAGCAGATCTGTCTGAGTCACTTACAGGAGGAGGAAACGAGAGGAGCTGAGGAGCTGCCCCCCCTCTGGTTCCACTCCATCTGTCACACTCAGGACCTGTTACAACCCGGGGTTTTGGAGGAACCTGGAACATTTATCTGAACCGATGTAGCCTCTTCACAACAGATGCTTTTCAGCACTGAGAAATAAAGATAAGGAACTGATGTTCGGGAGAACTGGAACTGTCAGTTTCACAAACAGACAACATTATCGTTCCAGTACTGGAAGAGGCAACAGTAATGGGACCGGGGGGACTAGCACTTGGTACAACAAATGTAACAGTACCAGGAAGACACAGGATGAGTCAAGTGAGGAATCAAACCCACAAACCTTACTCTAAAATGGTAGTAGTCTTTACCCACTAACTTCACTCAAATGAAACGAGCCATAATCAATTGACTTCTTGACCTTTTTACTGATTAAGTGTCTGATCAGATCAATGTGACAGAAAAGAAAAAGTTTTGGTTCTGACAGAGGTTTGGGTCGGTTCCAATGTGCACTTCTTCTCCGCCTCTTCCTCACATCCATCTCCTCCCCTCTCCTCCTCCTCCTCCTCAGACACTCAACAAAGTGCTGAAGATGAAACTCAAGTGTTTAAAAGTGTGAAGAAGAAGTGATGTACCTTCACAATTTTGTGATTGATGATGACGGCGGACTCGACACAGCTGACAGCAGCAGTAATCATCTCTGTACAGAATGAATGGCTGTCGAGGGAAACTGTGGAGATGGACAGTGAGGCCAAGATGAACCGTTCGTAAGAGTGTGTGTGAGTGATTGTGTGTTTGTCAGTGTGGGCATGTATGTGTGTTTACATTTTTGTCAAACTACAGTAAGGGATCAGAATAAACACAGCTGTTTTTGTTTTGAATTTCTCTGGTCGAACTCACATTAGTTTTTCAAGTGAGCTCACAGTTTAACAAAGACGCTATGTCTCCCTCGCCCTGTTCAACTTCCTTCCTTCAGTGCTGCTGCTGGAGCTTACTAAGAAAACCGTAGTTCTAGTGTTCTCGAACGGCAGAACTGAAATAGATCTCTTCCATTCACCATTCCGAGGCGTCGGTGCTAACTGCTAATTAATGTAAAATTGCTGGAAGCGACTGAATGACTCGAGTGAACAGCGATTGGGTCTCGTCACAATTGTCTTCTGGGGGAAGTAGGACTTTACTCCGCTCTGCATTACCATGGTTACCCTCGACACACTGGAAAGATACGGTTCCACACGTGTACCAAAAACTAGTCTGGTCCTTGAATCTATGTATTCAATTCTATATTCTAATAATCATACTGTTCAAACTTAATCCACATGTACTGTATGTATGTATATACTGTATGTCCCATATATTTCCATATGTATATATATACATACACATATATATATACATATATACATATATACACACATATACTGTGTATATACATATATACACACATATATATATACACACACATATACACACATATATTTATATACAAACACATATATATATATATACACACATATACATATACACACACACGCACACACAGTATATGGGAAATATAGGGTGTCCCATATATTTCCTATGTATGGAAATATATGGGACACCCTGTAAACACATCCACGTGTATTAAAATTACACAAATTAAAACAGTATGATTATTGGACTATAAATAAAGTTAAAAGACAGATACAACATAAAAAATTAAATTTGAAGTTAAATATAAAATATACGTTGATGCTATTTACAGTGCATATGTAAAGTAAACGTGATATTTACATAAGATCTGAGGAGGTGACAATAGTCGTCAGTGGTGGGTCATCAGGTATTTATTCAGGGAGGTGAGGGCGTGGGAGGAGCACATTAGACAGCCTAAGGGGTGAGAGAAAGATGTTAGGGGTCTGTGATTATGAGGATAATGATTATGATAATCTTATTCTGTGATTATGAGGATAATGATTATGATGATCTTATTTTGCAAAAATAAACTCAAAAAAAAAGCAACAAAAAAGCTGACTTTTAGGTCAAAATTAGCCAAATTAAATAGGCCGTCCAGAAACTATGACATTTAAATGTGCAGAAGAAGAAGAAGCAACAGCAGGAGGAACTGACTGTCTCTCTCAGCTGTGTTTCCTGTGGGACACCAACGTAGTGGTTTTAATATTTAAAGCTCTTGAAGACTTAAAAACCACTCACCTACAGCAGCTTAAGGCTGTAATGATGCTCGTTAGGCGTTCACCTGATCTCACATTATTGACCGACCTTGAAGCTAACATTAGCAACCAACAACACACAACAGGAAACTGAAGTTTCTCACAGAGATTTGAGCTCAAAGATACAATAAAGAGCAGTAGTTGACTAACTTCTTGTGACTTCATTGTTTAAAAGTTTTGGTTCAAATTTGAGCAGAAATGAACATTAGATTCAAACTAGCATTTTTCCTCCTTCAACATAAAAACAATTTGAAGAACAAAGACTCACCACAGGTCAACGTCAGCTTCGACCTGATCCAGACATCATTTCTCACCAGTGATTAGTGCCGTCTGTCAGAAACTATTCTGTGTTGACACACCTCTTTATCATGGTTTCATGAAAAAAAAAAAAAGTTTATTTTAAAATATTTATTTTCCCAAACAAACTAACTGTTAATTCGGACGTGAATCTGTGAAATGTTAAACTAAAGAAAGGTTGCACGACCATGAGTTTTTGTAGTGATTTATTCATTTACCCACAATCCTTTGCTTCCTATACTGCATTTCTTCTGTTCTCTGTTTGTTTAAAAGTCTCTTTTTAAGATGTAATTGAAACAGATTCTTAAAATCAGAACAACAACCTCTAGTTTTTAGTTTTTAATATAAACCTTCTGTTAAAAAAAATAGAAATTCCAATGTAAGCTCCGCCCACAGAGTCTTCCACATGGAACCTCCTGCTCCTCTGAAACACCCGCTGCAGAATAGATTCATGTATTTATCTGTCACGAAGAGTTGGCTTTAACTTATTTAGAAATAAAATAATTAGAAAAGAAGAAAAATGAAGCAGCTTCTGGTGTTTTTTGTTTTTTTTTCGTAGTCCTCCGCCTCAGCGTGGAACCAACAGTGAAGCAGTTAAATGTCACAGATCTGCTGAGGCCTTTACATCATCACAGAGACAGAGTCAGAACTGCTGACAGCCACACGTCGCCACTGTTCCCAGACGTGTGTGTGTGTGTGTGTGTGTATACACACGCCTGTGTGTATGAGTATATATTGTCCTGTCCAGGGAAGAACACTGCAGCGTGCAGCCTAATAAGACCAAACACCAGGAGGACACTAAAAACAGTCTCTTATCTGTGAGTGTGTGTGTGATTTTTATGACAAGTCACTAAACAAAGACACCAGCCACTGCCCTGGAGAGTTCATTTAAATACACATGGCCAGCACTCCTTTACACACACACACGCAGTAACACAATGTCACACACGCACGGGTTAACCCAAGTCAAGATGAAAAATATTGAAAAAGCAACCAAGATCATGTAACATGATGGACAAAAAATAAAAAATAAAATTAATTAAAATGCATCAACTATCAATAAATACAGCAGGGGTTCAGGACAGAAGCGTGACCTTCAGATTGTCCTCGCTACTTGCTCTGAGCTACTGTAGCTCACTCGACATCCGCGTCTGATTCGTCTGTCTTTCCTCAGGTGATTTTAAAGGTGTTTGTTGCATGTCAGACAACTATACAGGATTAGAGATTAGGATGACAGGTTAGTGGAGCTTTGGCCCAGAGGCCATGTCTCTGTCATTGGTGAGCTTCTTCAGCTGAGTATTTCTTTAGCCGTAGCTTCTCTGCGACACATTAGCCCTGACATTTATTTCCGCGTTGACTCCACCTCCACCGTAGTCCGCACTGAGGATTATTTATTCTTGGTGTTTAAAGCCCTCCACCTTTGTGGTTTAAAAACAAAACAAAACAAGGTGAAGTGATTGGTCAGTAGTTTGTTGCAAAAAAAATTTAAAAATTGGTCAGTAGTTTGTTGCAAAAAAAAATAAAAAAATCCAGGTCTGTTTATTTCAACAAAGTGAAGGTTTTATGACACCAATGTTTTTACAGAGGTCAGTGTTTTCACAGGAGAGGCCAAATTTAGTTGAACAAAAATTATTTACCTCTGCTCTGCTCTGCGTGTGTGTGTGTGCGTGCGTGCGTTCCTCCAGGGTACAACACACACACACAAACATGATTTAAGGCTCCAGGTCTTTACAGATCATTTAGGCATTCATCATTGATATTGCATTGTGTTTGTGTTTGTGTGTGTGTGTGTGTGTGAGTGTGTACATGTTCTCTCGAGGACCCTGCTGGTACAAACGCTGACCTTCTCAGGTCCAGATCCTGGTCCTAATGATGCAGAACGTAGTTAAACTTAAAGTCCTTTAGCTTTTTTTAACTATAAAGTTTTTTTTTTTTTTTCCCTGATCATAAAGACTCTGTGGCGTTCCCCAAGGCTTTGTTTTAGGTCCTGTAATTTTTGCCTCCTCTTGTTATTTTTATCAAGTCAGGGAGTATTATGGGAGATTGTGGCCTACATTTTAACACTGATGATGATGACATTTTATTTACCACACAAACGGTCAGGTATTTAAAAGATAATTCTTTGGAAAGATTAACAGCAAAAACCAGAAGCAGGCAGGATGAGAGCAGCAAAAAAAAAAAATAAATAAATAAATAAATAAATTTAGGAACATCATGTTCACAAACAGATCAAACTGGATGGAAGAGGTCTGTAGAAAACTTCATATATTTGAGATGAGGCGGTTCAACAAAGGTACGGTTCCACCCGTATACTGTACATGGAGAGAAAAACAGAGAGGGGAGGGGTGGCATGGCGGGATGAGGAGGTGAGAAGGTGTAAAAGAGGAGGGTAGAGGAGAGATAAAAGGAGAGGCTAATCTAGAAAAATGACGGAAACATGTCGGAGAAGATGATTTAAAAGAGAGAGAGAGAGAGAGAGAGAGAGAGAGAGAGAGTGTGTGTGTGTTGCTAATGACTACTTTAGTCGTTTGGAGGCAGTAATCTCCTTAATCTGATTAGCCTCCGGGCTGCAGGTCATGTAACACTATCCTCCATGATTCTGCAGCCTGATGTACGTGTGTGTGTCAGTGTGTGTGTGTCAGTGTGTGCGTGTGTGTGTGTCTGAAAGCCAATCCCGATGTAGCCTGAATCACTTCTCTACCAGAGTCTCGTGGAAATTGCTGTCCAAATAGAATTATGTTGTAATTTTAAAACAATTTATCAAAGACAGTTTGGTGTCACTCCCTCTGGAGCCATTAGGGGCCACTCACGCTCCCAGAAGCCAGTGAGAACAGCAGCTGCCGCGGATATCAAACCACTGTCATCTGTGAACGGATGGAGAGCCTTGAACAGCTGAATACTTTCTGAGTGTTTATTGAAATAAGAGGGAGAAGCTAACAAAGAAGGAGTCTGAAAAGAATAAACAAAAAAGAAAAACTTAAAAAGAAGCAGCTTCAGCCCCAGACCTTTAGACTCACAAAGTGAAAAATGTACTTTTGGTTTAGAGAGAAATACAGGACAGAGAGACAAAAACAAACGAGACCAAAAGACACCAATGTCTCCCAGTGTTGTTATCCGTTGAGGCCGACCTGAGCAGCAGGAACAGAAACTTTATTTTCTTACAGTCCTGACACTAATCATTTCTTTGATGCGCTACACCAAGTCCAGGGCTGTCAAACTCAAATTCACAGTGGGCCAAAATCAAAAACTGGGATGAAGTAGCGGGCCAAACTTTATATTTATTGAAAAATTGACTGGAAATGTACACGATTTCACTTCTTTCCAGATATATAATGAAGAATGTTTGCATAGATTAAATCTGGAACAACCAAAGCTAAATATTACAAATTAAATTTGGAAATATGACACACATCAGTGGTATTCATTTCTTATATACCTCTCTCTATCTCTAGCCTTTTGAGTTCCTTTTCGATGTAAATCCGTTTTTACCGAGCAACAAAAAAACAACCAACTACAAATTGATCTCGCAGGCCAAATATTACTACATCACGGGCCATATTTGGCCCGCGGGCCTGAGTTTGACGTTGACAAAGCTGCCTGACTGAGTCTGTTCTTTGGTTTGATTTTTTTTTATCTTCTCATGACCCTGAAACGATCAGACATTAATGGAGCCTGACGATGAACGATGATAAAATGTCACCGCTCCTCTTGAAATGAGTGTTTATAAGGAATGGGAGTCGACAACAGGATGGTGCGAGAAAGGACATGAAGGTCCCTGAAGCTCAGGAGACGACGGAAGGGAACGAGTGTTGGACTCATTGTTATCACCTCGGTGAGGACTGACGGCTGTATCAAGTACACAGAATCATTCAAGATGCATGGAAACGCACAAGCGCAAGTGTCATGTCATTGTAAATGTTGAAGCTCAAACTGTCCACGGACTGAAGACGTACAGAATGGACAGACAGGAAGTCATTTCCTTAGTCAACAAAGTGAGAATTCCCTTTTCTCTGCTGTTCTAACTGTCAAACACAAGAAGGAGACAGAACCAAAGTCTGGATTCTAGAGTCTGACTTTACAGATCCATGGACTTGAACAGGACAGTAACAGTAACTACCAGTTACCAGTAACCAGAACCAGATCAGGTTTAGATGAGACCAGGTTCAAAGAGAACTGGGCTGTGTGCATAGTCTTGCCAAGAGAAAATCAGAACCAGAATCGAACTGGACTTAGTTTGGATTCAGATTATTGGAGGGGAAATTTCACACTGGAAGGAATCAGGAATCTTTAAAATGCTGACATTTTCCTTTTCTTTCTCCTTCTTTACCTTAAAACAAAAAAAAAAAAACTAAAGAGCCTTTATTCGGTTCAAAGCCTCTAATCTTTAATTATATGTGTGATCTTTTTTTTTGTGAGAAATCCAAAGTGTTGAAATAAAAAAAAGGCATAAATAAAAGTCAGAAAATGAAAAAAAATATAATGTTTATATAAAGTGTGTTTTATCTGGTGTCTGTCTGTGAATAAAACATCATTCAGTTTGTAGTAAATCCAGTTTGTCCAGTTTGTGCAGCACATAGTAATGATGAGTCCTACAGTTGTTAGGACTTTGGTCAGAAGCAAATATTTTTATATAATTAAATTTTTATTTTTTCGTATATGTGGTTCAAATAGTGTCATCAAGAAAATACATATTCTATACGTTTTAGTTTGTAGTAAATATGTTTCTGATAGTTTAGACAGTAGGAAATACAATTGAATAGTCCGGTTTGGAGAAATGACAGTTTACGCCGGTTAGTTAGTACAAAATATCAAGTAATTCCTTCACTCCTTCCTGAATGTTTTTCTCAACATCATCTGGTGAGGATTTCTGATGTTCCTTCAACTTCAAAACAGTCTGTAGTGAAGATTCCATTAAATTGTGTTTATATATTAATGAGATACAATTTTAATTAACTTAACCATCTTTTAACTGTATCACATCATAGAATCATTATTCACAAAGGGTCACATCGGATAATAATATTAATAGTAATAATAATAGTAAAATTATTATTATTAATAATAATAATAATAATAATAATAATAATAATAATATGTTGTTGTTATTCAAAAACCATTCAGATCTTGACAGTAGTTTCAGCCTTTTCAGTGAAATATAAATATATATTTATATATATGTTTTCAGACTGAATCCCATTTATTTTGTATTGCATTTATAAACCTTTATATCTTTTCCTTTTTTCTTCTATTATTAGTTGCTAATTGATGTGTCACATTAATTAGCAACATTAATAAAATATTTTAGTAAATCACATCAAATGAATTGACCATCACATCCAAAAACTTCAAGGCTGGTCTCACTTTAACCTTTTTCTTTTTTTCTTTTTCCCCCACAAGTTTAAAGAAACATTTGCCACACAC